TAGCCTTGTCGTTCAAATCACTGTCGTACGCTCGAGACGCTGATGCAAAGTCTGAACGCAGCCTGACGCTTGGATGCCATCCTTATTAAGACATTTGTTACATGCTGGTAGGTTAGAGACAGATCCCGCTCTAGCGCAACTCGTCAGCGTCCCTCCCTGTACAAGTAATCTGGCGGCCACCATCAGTCCAAGATTATCCCACTTTCGCAGCTCCACAGTTAGTGGCTAAGGCACCGTGGTCTTTATAAGTGGCATTCCTGACAACTCCCCAGTTATCCCGCCCACCGAGACTCAAAGACTATTTCCTGTCACGAATTCGGATTCACACACGTTTCCGTTTTTTTTTTTCGTTGCGAGGTTGTATCAGTATTGCATGACGCGAAGAAACGACTACTGAGCTAGAAGAGGCAGGATATCGCCTTGCTGGCATAAAATGAGCAGATCCGGAGAACTCATCCAGAGAGATACCATGTCTTTACAAGCGTGTTCTCCATGATTTTTTTTCGATTTTTTTCTCCCCTGGATGGCTATTTAGCGACTAAGATTTTTAATTGGGTGCCACTATCCGCAATATACAATCGCGAGGTGTGTCTTTAACCAGCTTTGCTTGCTTTGTTTGCTTACACTTTTCTTCCTTGCGATCGAAACTGATAACAAGCTGTGTTCTATGGAAAACATTTAGAGGTGTGGGTAGGGGTTGGCAACATATGGAACCGAAAAAGGAAATCAATAGAAAAGATGAGCTGGCGCTTTATGGGTGCAGTTCGGCTTCCTAGCGGGAAGGAAGGGGCATTTTGGGCATCTTGCACTTCCGTTACTTCACATCGTGTCGTGTGGTGTCGAGCGATCAAGTGTAGACCTGTGAAATCCTGTAAAGCTATAAAGTCAGTTAAAGTGCAAAATGAATCCCCAAGCTCCTTCCCCTCCCTCTTCAGCTGAACTGAGGATAAAAGGATAAAGTCTTCGCCGTTGATCAATCCCTTTGTGGGATGCGGCACGCATTCTACTTCCATTCAGAATCGTAGTGGCTTATTGAATGCGATGTGGCCTATACAATGACTTGCGGTGGCCAGCCGATGTACAAGTCAGTGTTTTATCCTCCCAGACGAATCTGGTACCAATTTACCCCCGGAGGGTAGAAGGCTTGGTTGGCCTGGGCGGGAGTCGACCCGGGATTTGAACCCGGCGCCGCGCGAGTGGTAAGCGCGCCACTTGTCACTACACCACCTCCGCCTTGCTAGCATATCTGCTTGTTTATGCCCAGCGTACACGTGGTATTTAGACAACTGCAAAAGAAACGCCACGACCGCAATGTGATGGTGGAGGAAGTGTGTAGTTTAACTTTTCGGTTAACAGATAATATAGTACTCTCATTCCAGATTGTTACGCTACGATGGTTTGGGATCAGTATCGGCTTTGATCACATTGTCAATGAACACATCAAAAAATGTACTACTTTGAATGTGTGCGAGGACTTCATTTGGCAGTACCTTCGTTCGGAGTTACTTCAAGGTATCACCATCTTTTTGCTCTTCAGAATTCGCTCCGACTGTGAATTTCTATTGATACTCTTTTCCTTCTATGCCCACCAGTGTTTATTGTCATGCAAGGCATTTTTTTGTCACGTTTTCTTCTCAGCCTCGTGATCCCTTCATTCAACAACGTCTCTCCCATTTCATGACGCTAATAGTTTTGGGGAAAGGGGAGCATTGGAAAGGGGGGAGCAGCAGCAGCAAATTTGTCCGCTCTTACGACTCTTACGAAAAATAGTCTGATCAAATGAAAACTTCCTCTTTTTAGCGAACCAGTTGTGGTCGTCGCACAGAAATCTTCTCCAACTACTAATGAAGAAATATTTCTGCTACGTGCAAGAATTGATGGTTCCTGTCGCCTTTTTCTCAGAAAGTACGTTAATTCAGTTCAGTGGTGCCAAACAGGCAGTGTAGAACTGTTTCATTGAATAAGTAAATGTAGACTGTGTTGATCTTTCCAGTGCACTCGATTCTGGAAGCCACCTATGCGTCAGATTCCGGTACGGTGGCAATGCCTCAGTTGACCAGAATTACAGTGAATATAGGAGAAGAATGGGGAAAGTTGTTGATGTCTCACATTTATGACAACTTGAAGATCAGGTGCGTTCTTTGAAATCCACTTCTTCGGTGCTTCATTTTATGTTTCTCCTCACCTCGTTCATCCGAAGTTGCCTTTGGCTTGTGCCCACTACTCTTTAACTGTGGAGGGTCCACAGGTCGAAATGGCCAATTGTAACGAGAGATAAATTACGGCATGTGCTTTTGGACGCTGATCTCGGATTTTCCTCCGACTTTTGCAAAACGATTCTATGAACGGAATTAGGGGCTTTTCCTCGCATTGTGTAACAGGCAGAAGGTCATAGAATCGGAACCTTGCTGGGCGTTATTTTTTCCTTCTTGTAGGCACATGGGGGAAAAGTGTTTGTAACGGCACTACTACACCAGCGCTCGCCTAAGCTTGTCTGAAAAAAGAGTTTGTGTGCAGTTACTATTATGTTTATACGGTCATCTGATCAAATTTCTGCATTTTCACCCAACTTCATAAAGTGGGCCATGGGAACAAGTGCTGTTCAATTCATTCCAGGAGGTCCACTCTCCTGTATAAAGCCTCATCTTGCAATTTCTGTTCATTTTATTCCTGCTCCACTTTTGCTGATAACTAGAAGAGAATTCCATCCATAGCCGAACCATCGTTAAGAGGTAGTCCCTAAAACATGTCGCTGCCATTACTCGCACACTGCTGGCTCTCGTTTTCGGAGTTTGGCCAAGTCTTACTTTGGGCCAAAAGTCGGTCCCTTTGGGCCAGAAGTCGGCTCCTTGATCTTGGATGTGACCCACAGAAGTGGCCACTTCAACTCGGGATCTGCCCTAGAAGTGACCCAAAAGAGATTCCGTACAAAAAGAATCCTGTCTCTCTTAAACCCGAACCTTCATATCACGGCTGGGAGCAAGACTCCTTGTCACTGTGTTAGGCCGCCACTGGTAATGCGTCCGCTTCGCGGCTATTTATGCATTTGACTGTGTGTCCCTTCATGCGAGAAACCTTCACAGCCCCGTACAGAGAATCATTCTGCAAATTTCGAAGGCAGATCTGAGGCCAGCGTCCAGTAACACGTCCCGTAATTTGTCTCGTTACAAATGGCCACTTCGACCTGGCGACCACCACTATCAAGCAAACTACAACGTGTCTCTCGATAGTAGTGAAAGAGCGACAGTGAATGGCAGACAGATGCAATGCTTTTCGTTGTTTCTCACCTTTTGAAGAATTGTTAAAAGCAGCTGACCTATATTAGATAGCTATTTCACTTGTATCCATGGAGGTCGTACTTTTTAGCTGAAAAGGGAAATGAAATTAATTTT